GCCTCCTCCGGCTTCCCGTTGCGCAGCGCCTCCCGAGCGGCTTCTGGCGGGGGTTTCTGGGCGCTCTGCTTCATCAGGGGGCTCCTGAGGAAGGCCAGGGTCTTGGCCTTCTTCTCCTTCGGGCCCTCGGGCCGGTGCTTGTGGACGCGGCTGCGACTGGCCAGGGAGATGTGGATGTAGAGCACCGTCATGATGACCACGGGCAGGTAGAAGGCCGCGATGGCGGTGCCGAAGGTCACCGCCGGGTTGGACAGGAACTGGATGAAGCACTGGTTGTCTGGCACCGTCCGCTCGCCCACCACAAACTGCCAGAAGAGGATGGCGGGCGCCCAGAGCACGAAGGACAGGACCCAGGCGGCGGCGATCATGAGGCCGGCCGTCTTGGTGGTGCGCCGGGCGGGGTAGGTGAGCGGCTTGGTGACGCAGAAGTAGCGGTCGAAGCTGATGATGAGCAGGTTCATGACCGACGCGTTGCTCGCCACGTAGTCCAGGGCCAGCCACAGGTCGCAGACCACGGCGCCCAGGGGCCAGTAGCCCTGGATGATGTACACGGTGTAGAGGTTCATGGAGAAGGCGCCGATGATGAGGTCGGCGCACGCCAGGCTGAACAGGAAGTAGTTGTTGACCGTCTGCAGCTGCCTGTTGACCTTGATGGACAGCATCACCAGGATGTTGCCCACCACCGTCACCAGGCTCAGCGAGCCCGTCACCGTGGCGATGAACACCATCTCCACCGTCTCGTAGCGGCTATGGGTTGCTGTGACCAGGCGCACAGACTGGTTGGCCGAGCTGCCGTTGACCGGTGTGAAGTTGGCCATTTCGGTTCGTCCCGGGTGGGCAGTGTCTGGGGGGGAAGAGGAGAGGGGAGTTAAAGGGGAAACGTGGGGCCCCTGGACTCACGGGGCCAGAGGACTTCATCCTGCAGGACCTTAGGAAACTCTGTCCTATCACCTTCTCATTTGTTCCTGCTTTATTTATTTATTTATTTTATTTATTTTATTTTATTTTTTAAATTTTGTGTTTCTTTTGTTATTATACAGTGACCGGTTTTGTTTTGTTTTGTCTTTTGCTCTGTTCCCTCATTAAACTCTCATTCTTTTTAAAAAATACCTCTTTATTGATTTCAGAGAGAGGAAGGGAGAGGGAGAGAGAAACATCAATGATGAGAGTCATCGATTGGCCGCCCCCTGCTCGCCCCCTACTGGGGCCTGTGCCCTGACCCCAATCGAACCGTCACCTGGTTCACCGGTTGACGCTCAACCACTGAGCCACGCCGGCCGGGCTATTTATTTATTTTAATCTTCACCAGAGGATATTTTTTTCCATTGCTTTTTAGAGAGAGTGGGAGGGAGAGAGAGAAACATCGAGGAGAGAGAGACACAGATTGGTTACCTCCTCCCGCATGTACCCTCACCAGGGCCAGGGATCCAGCCTGCTAGTGAGATACGTACGTGCCCTTGGTCAAAATCGAACCCAGGACCCTTCAGTCTGAGGGCCGACATTCTAACCACTGAGCCAAACCAGCTAGGGCCGCGCATTATGTAATGAGTGAGCACTCGTGCTGCAGTTACAGAAGTGAGTGAGACACGCACAGGCCTCACTCTCACGGAGTTTACAATCGATCAGGAGAGATCTACAAACAAGTGAGCAACAACAAAAACGTGCTAGAAAGAAAACAAGGCAGGGAGATGGCACAGAGAGTGGATCAGGACCCACAGGGATGTCCCCTGCTGGGTGATCAGTGAAGCCCTCCCCGAGGAGGTGATTTTTGTTTTTTAATGTCTTTATTGATTTCAAAGAGAGCAAGGGGGAGAGAGAGAGAGAGAGAGAGAGAGAGATCAATGATGAGAGTCATTGA